CAAAAGAAGGTGCAAGAGTATCAAGCAATTGTCGGTTGTGGACTTGCCCTTCCTAAAACCAGCTTGCTCAGGGCCAAGAATAGATTGATTCTCAGTCTAAGAGGTGAGTTTTTTAATAGGTATTTTGAATAAAATTCCCTAATCACTGATAGTAAGCTAACTGGCCTATAATTTTCTGGGAGGGAGGGATCCCCATTTTCATAAATTGGGTCCACAATGGCATTGGCCCAGGCTTTAGGAATTGACCCAGTGTTGTCTATAACAGAAAAGAGGGGAGCAAGTATTGAAGCCCACCAATCCGGGTCACATTTCACGAAGTCTGGTGGAATAGGATCGGGGCCAGCTGCTTTTCCCGCTTTTAATTGGGTTATTAGATCTTTAACCTCATCAGTAGATACTGGAGGCCAGGGTGTGAGCTTGATTGTAGAAAAGGTGGAGAGGGCACTTGGTGGTATATCTTTGTTAAAGAGGAGCTTGGAAAAATATTGGACCCATCTTTTGGATGATATTTCGGCAGGGTCATGCCCCTCCGTCTTAGAAAAACCAGCCAAAATGGCCAGAAAAGCTTGTTATTTTTCAGGGTCACTGTCTATAGTAGCATGTTCCATTGCTCTAAAATAAAGCTTTGCCTTTTTTTCTTTTATACAATCCTTTAAACATTTTTTTAAGGGACAGATATTTAAATAGTGTTTGAGGGGTGCCCAACTGTCTATATGTTCTATAGGAGTTACGGATACATTCTTTCAGGATCCTACAATCCAAATCAAACCAGGATCTTTTATGTGTAGAATTGCTACACCTTAAGGAGGTTGGTGCACACCCTAACACAGAGCATAAGAGCTGAATAAAATCATTGAAAGCTTGGGTTTTTTTCAAGATGTTCTTTCACATTCATGAAAGAAGTCAAACTGTTGTTACACTCATTACTTGATAGTAATTTTTGGGAATTTTGTAATGTTAAGTTACTCCAGTTAGTTTTGATCACAATTGCTGACTCGTTCCATGGAGTTAGGGAGGCAGCCCTCACATTGACTCTTAAGGCCGTCTCTGCAAATCCACCCCAAAATGTGCCACACATGGTTTCAGAGAAAGTTATATCAAAATATAATCAATGACACTGGAACCCTGGATGGCTATATGAGTGTATCCAGGAATTCTGCT